AATTTTGTATATGGTGGATATTGATATAAGCCGCACAAACAAAAGCTCAATAAATATTAAAGAGTTTAAAAGGGCTGTAAAACCAAAGTTTGAGAGCTGTTGCCCTAAAGGAACTTCCTTCCTGGGGCCTCTCCACTCTCTGGGACTGGACCACTGTTTTCAGGAAAAGCCTGGGCCCCTGCTCCCATTTACTCTTTCCTCTCCAGCCAAGGCCTCCTCCCTATACTCCTAGACTTTCTTTCTTTCCCCACTCCTCATTGGTTTTAGACCCAGAATCAAAATTGTTCCTGGATGGGGTATGTCAACCTATTCTCCTCTGGCCCCATTCCCTATCTTGGTAACTGAGGACAAAGATACCTCTGTTCCATTAGAATGTAAATTGTGGTTTGAGGACAGGGACTATTTTTGCTTTTATATCTGAATCCTCAGTTTTCAACTTGAAGGCTTGATATACAGTTTAGTAAATGCTTTTTCATTCATTCTTGTCAAATGAAGACCATAGGAAGGAACCAGGATGCTCAGCTAGTAGAAGGGAAAAACTGAGCGGGGGGAGTTTAGGGGGCTGGGCAGACATAATAGTTATGTTCAAGGATTTGAGGGCTGTCAACACTTGTTCTGTTTGACCCCAGAGAGCAAAATTAGAAGCACTAGGTAGAAGAGAAAAAATTAGGCTTGGTGTCTAGAAAAACATTCTAATGATTCGAGCTATCCTCAAATGGAATGGGTCTTGGGAAGTAGTGGGTACCCTTTCATCCAAGGTCTTTAGTGAGCACATGCCAAGTATGCTCTAGCTGTGCCATCCCTTTCAGGTACAGGCCAGACTAGATGGTCACTGAGGTACCTTCCAACTTTAAAATTCTGTGATTTTGCCCAGACTCCTCCCTTTCCTAGAGAGCCCATCCCCAAAAGGGTTTTTCTACCCCACCAACCAGCCTCTTACCTTCTGCCTGCAAAAGAACATCACAGAAAACACCACTCTGCTGCTGGTGATGGAGTTGTAGAAAAGCTAACCGGAAGAGCCTGGGATTCCTGTAGAGGATTTTGGGGCTCTCAGGAGAGCACATGATGAAAGCCCCAAACACACTTCTCTCTGTTCACAAATCAAGCACCTGGCAAGTAAGACATGGTACTTCAGAAACTCGGTTATGCTTTATCAATTTCTTTCTTTCTTTTTTTTTTTTTTACTGGAAAACACTGAGGGGAGAAAACAACTCACAATTATATAGCCTTTCCCCCACAATAGTCCAGTGAGATAGGAAAAGGCTAGTACTATTCCACCATTTTACAGGTAAGCAAACGGAGGCTCAGAGAGGTTAAAGGATTTCTCCTCAGTCACACAACTTCCTGGGAATTGAACCCAGATTTCTCCTGAATCCCTGCTCTTTCCACTAACTCGAGATTGCTTGGTGGGGCCAATATGGTTGCTGGAGATTCCAGAGAAAGCCATGCCCCTCACCAACACGCGTGGCAGGGAATAAGCTCAAACACCAATCTGGCCATCCTGTTCTCTAAGTGCCTCATCCTTCACAAAGAAGTCCCCAGGTGCTCCGCAGCCTTTCCAAACAAACTGACCACAACAGAATCCTTGGAAAAGCCACTTGAGTTTTCCCAAGTGACAGCCCTTAACTTGGATGGGTTCAGCTTGCTAGGTCCCTACTAACCAGCAGGGGGTGCAGGGTGTTTGGGAGAAGCCAAACAAGTCTGAACAGCACCCAACTGGAATGTTTCCCTGTATGGAACTACGGCCTTTTGCCTGCAGGGCACCAATCCCTGGTAGGAGAACAAGGATACAAGGGTCTTCACCTGGGGTCCATGAACTTGTTTTGAAATCTTTTAATAACTGTTATTTCAATAATAACTGGTTTCCTTTATAATCCTATGCATTTCATTTCATGCATTTAAAAACATTATCCTGGAAAGAGATCCGTCTGTAGGCTTCACCAGACTGGGAGAGGGGTCCAAGGCACAGAAACAGTTAAGCTTCCCGGATCTAGAAGACACAGCTGGATCTATGCTGGGAATCAGTAAAGGATCTTGGTTTTAGGACTGTCAACTTGGCTAATTCTCCAGCGAAGAAACTCACTCTAAATGTAACATTCCTTAACTCCTCTGAAGGCCTGGCTCACCGAGGTTCTGATGTAGCTTGTTATGCCGCTCAAACACGAAGTACTCATTGTCTGCTGGGCACAGCTGGGTAGGCTGAAGGAGACAGAAAGGTCACGACAGACACACACACTCTCTCTCTCTCTCTCTCTCTGTCCCCATTAACTAGATTACAAAATGATACAGGTATAACAGCTGTGAAAACCAACACGCTATGCCTGAAGGGATCGCGGAAGGCAGAATTTCGGGCTGAAGGGCTTGGATAATTCACCAGGCCCCTAGAGGCCATCCCAGGTCCAGTAAAGTTAGGACTTGTACACAGGGTCACAGCAAGTGCCATTTGGCAGTAAGACATTCTGTAAATGGGAAAATCGTGTGAGACCAGGGAAACTTGCCAGACTGAGGAAAGCTCTGCGTGCCAGTCCAGACACTCCGAAATTTATTCACAGGCTCCTAAGATTTAGAACTGCAAGGGCCAGGGAGATGATCTAATCCAACTCGAGAGCAAGGGCTGTCTTTTACCTCTCTTTGTACCCCCAATGCCCGGCACGTAGTAGGTGCTTAACAAATGCTTATCAACTGACTCAGCATACCTAGGACACATGTATCTGGCAGCTGGGCTATGGAACGATTGGGGGGGGGGAAGGCACAGGGTCACTGAAACCTGCTGGAAGGCCAGTGGGTCGGGTGAAAATTTAAGAGGAAAGGCCAGATGGGAAGGTGAGAACGTGCCCAGGAATTTAGACCTGGAAGCGACCTTCAAGGCCTGGCCCATCTGCCCCATTCACTGCACAGGTGGGGAAACTGAGGCCCAAGTGAGGGAAGTCCCAAGCTAAGGGTCCTCTGCACTGGTGCCTTTCGCTCCCCACACTCACCGCAACCTGCAGGCCGCCTGTAGCGACAGGCAGTTTTCTCTGCCGGGCTCACATCAAGGCTATCGGGAAAGACCAGGGCAGAAGGGTGAAGTGCGGCCGGCGCGCGGGCCCAGGCCAACCCGGAAGGCGCCCATGCACTCAAGCAGTCCGACCCGTCCGTCCCCATACAAAGAAGGCCCTCCACAAGGTAGGGGGCTGGAGCGGCCCGCAGGCCCAGGGCGCTGCCGACGGCCCGCCTTTGCTCCAAGGCCCACAGGGGCCGGCGCCTCCGGGGCGCCGGGCCTCCATTCACCTTGCTCACACCTCCCCCGCCCCCGCCGCGGTCCTCGACGGGCCCTCGGGGCCAAGCACCCGCAGCCCGAGCGCCGCCCCGGGGCCCGCCCCTCCTCCAGGCTCCATATGCCCGGGGCGCTACGTCCCGGGCTGGGCCTCGGAAGCGGGCGGGGAGTCCACCCGCGGAGCTGGTAGCCTTCCCTTCCCCTAGTGCCCCCCCTCCGGCTTCACCTCCAGGGCGCCCCCCTGGGCAGGGCTCCTCCAGGCGCAGCTCGCGCTCCCAGGCCGGCCTGGGGCTGCTTCCCGCCCCGGGGCGCTGCGGGAACCTGGGAGCCACGGTGGGCGTGGAAGGAAGGGCGGACCCCTGCTGCAGGGGTGCCTGGGAGAGCGGGCTCTCACCGTCGTCGCGGCCACGCTGGGGGCCCCCCAGCTTACATCGTGCAGGTGCGGGCGACGGCCGCAGGGGGCAGTGCGGGGCAGCGCCGCGCCGCTCAGGGCAGCAGCCGGGGGGCGGGGGACAGGGGGCAGTGGGGCACGCGGCTCCGAGCGCGCGGCGCCGGCGCCGAGTGGCCACGTGCCCCCCTCCACCACCCCCCCGCCGCCGCCGCCGCCGCCGCCGCCGCCGCCGCCTCGCCACTCGATTGGAATGGGGGCCCGGGCGGCCACACCCAATGGCCTTCGCGGGGCCTCCCCGTCGAAACCCTCCCTCTCAGAGTCTGCCCGGCAACGCTGTTTCATTGGTTCGGGGGCGCCGCCGAAGCCCAATCGCGAGAGGAGAGCCGGTTTGGGCGGGAGGAACGAGGCTCCGTTTCTCAGGCCTTCGAGGCTGAGACGGCGAGGGCGGTGGGAGGGGGCGCGTCGCCGAGGGGGCAGCGCGAGCTCAACCCGGGGCCCCTGCGGCCTAGGCGGGGAGTGTCGGGGTAAACGAGGGACCCTCCCTCCCCCGCTCGCCTGTCACCGGGGTCGCCAGGCCTTGGAGCGGCTCAGGGGCCGCTCCGCCCCGCCTAGGGCGCCTCGATGACGGCTTCACACGCACGATCTCATTCGAGACCCCGAAAGCCCCGGACTGAGCCTGAAAGCCACCCGCCCGCCCGTGGGCAGCAAACTGGAGCCTCCAGGGCCTCTGTGTCCTCGTCTGTAAAACGAGGGTGGGGGGGCAGCTAGGCGGGGCGGTGGACAGAGCACCGGCCCTGGAGTCGGGAGGACCCGAGTTCAAATGCGCCCTCAAATCCGACACATAACACTTCCTAGCTGTGTGGCTCTGCGCAAATCACTTAATATCCCCAATTGCCTCACGAAAAAAAAAAACCGAGGGTGGGGGCAGTGACAGAATGGGGAAAATACTGACTGGATTTAGAATAAGAGGACCTGCTTCTTACTATCTTACCCGTGTGATGTGACTCAGTTTCCTCCTGTGTAAAATGAGCTAGATGACCTGGGAGGCCGAGCTCAGCTCTAAACCCCCTCAAAGGGTTCATCTTTGTGCCCTTGGAGGAAGGCTGGCTCATGGGTTGATTGATGTCTTTTTTTTTTTTTTTAGTGAGGCAGTGGGGTGAAGTGACTTGCCCGGGGTCACACAGCCAGTAAGTGTCAAGTGTCTGAGGCTGCATTTGACCTCAGGTCTTCCTGAATCCAGGGCCGGTGCTCTATCCACTACACCATCCAGCCACTCCAAGACTGGCTCATTTGTAAAGACTCCTGTCCAATTCAGGAAGTTCCATGTTGTCTTGGTCAAAGGTCGTTCTTTAGTGGAGAAGAACCCCTAAACTTTCTTCTCTTCTTAGGGAAATTGCTTAAGGATTAGACCAGCCAGCCTTTTCGGATTTCCTCCGACCACAGGCTATATCTGTTGACTCTAGACGGATGCCCATTTGTGGCTTCGAGCTTCCACCTGGTGAAATGAGTGGGTTGGGCTAGGCAACATTTTAACAGCTTTCTAGCTAAAATCCTGTGGCTGGCTGACTTCTGAGGCCCCTGTTAGTGCTTACCTTGGAACTAGGCAATCTGATACCCTTTCTAGCGCTAATCCTTTGGCTAGGCAAGCTCAAAGATAACTTCTAACTCTGACGTTCTGTGATTCTGTCTAGTTCAGTGTGGTTGAAACGAAACAAGTCTGATAAAGTGATCTCAAGGGGTGCGGTTTCAGTTGAGAACTGATGATAGAAAAGGAAGATGTCCAAAGATAAAAAGCAAGTCTGAAAGCAGGAAGGCAAATAGAAGGGTGAGTATTAACACTGCAGTAAGGAGTTGAGAAAGGGGCAAAACTGAAAACAGAATAAGATGGAAATGTAAAAGGGATGAAGACGATGGTGTTGAAGGTCTAAATTAGATGCCGCTTTCTACAGTGGGAAGAAAACTGAATTTGAATAAAAAAGCATTTATTACTATGTGCCAGGTACCATGCTAAGTGCTGGGGATATAAATACAAGCAAGCAAGATAGTCTTTGCCCTCAAAGAGTTTATATCCTAATAGAAGAAGACAGCACACATAGGGGAGTGTGGGGCCAGAGTGTGTGTTGGCACGGTGATTAGAATGATAGGGAAACTGATTGACAGGTCCTTTGAGAAGTGGTGATATTGATTTGATTGCTATTTTTACTGTTATTTTATTACTGATCTATGTTTAATTCTTGTGACCTTAGACAACTTGCTTTATCTAGGCCTCAGTTTCCTCATTTGTAAAATGAAGGAGTTAGATTAGTCAAAGGTATCAAACTTATGGCCTGTAAGCACTGCAAAACTCCTTAGTGGGGCCTGAACAAGATAAAAATGTAATTAGGAAATGTTTAACAAAATAAATAAAAATACAGTACAACATAGATAATGTTAATTTGTGGGTTTTGGGTGTACCACAGGGATCCTACTGAGTTTAACACCAATGGACTAGATAATCTCTAAAGTCTCTTCCGGCTCTGAATTATATTATTCAATTGATATTTTCAAAAATTTCTCCAAATTGAGGATACCAATCCAATAATAGAGGAGAAAGGCGCACAAGTTTTCTTTTTTTTTTTTTAAGAGGAAGCAAGAGTTGAGAGGAAATAGAACAGAAGGAAGACAGATTTCGATGGAGCCAGCAGGAAAAAACAAAGACGTAAGACAGAGCCCTAAATGTTTATAATGTCTCACTGTAGTATCCCTAGATGATTCAGACAGTGGCAGTCCAGTGAGGAGACAGTTGAAGTTTGAGCAAAGAGATCAAGATTATATTTGCTCCATCTTCTTGGGAACATGTTGATATCAGGGCAAAGCTAAGTACCAAGGAGTATAGACAATCTTCTTTTGGTACTTTTATCCTAGCCAGCATAAATACACTTTCATCCCAGGTCAGCAGAATTTTTAAAGGAAATGACAAGTGTTACTACAAATCCCTACTCAGGATTTCAAAAATGATACATTTTAGGGGATATGTAGTAACCAAAAAGGGTACAGAAGACGAAAGTCCATTTTTGGTAGATTGAATGTTTATTCCTTGCTATTCATCTCTTTAAAGTAGATTTCCAAAGTTGACTAATATAGTAGTCTTATATGCAGATGAATATATGGTGATTTTATTTTTTTTAAAGTTCAATCCCTTGCCTGTTTTAAAATTTTCTTCATTATCTTTACTTCACCAATTTAAATGATCAACCTGTGTGTTAGCGTTTGAAGCTGCTGGTGGTGGTTTTGTAAGGCTTTGAGAGTTTTGAAGTTGAATGAAAAATATGTTCTGTGTATTTTTAAGAATCAAGCACAGAATTTTCTCCGTGCTCATAATACAACTTTGCTTCTTTTTGGATTTAATGCAGTTCAACAAATATTAGACACCTGCTATATGCAATGAACCATGATACACACTTGGTATAAAAGACAGAAAGAAAGAAAGAAAGAAAGAAAGAAAGAAAGAAAGAAAGAAAGAAGAAAGAAAGGAGTTTACATTCTTCTGGGGGAATAAAACATGTATATACATGAAGAAATGGAAAATATTATGAAGCAGTTCCCCCCCAATTCTTTTCTAATTTACTGTAGAGGCAGTTTCCACTCAGTGTTTAGAAATCTTTATTTGGAAGTTCAGGTTAGATAAATTTAATTTAAAATTTTTTTTTGCCATATTTAATTTACTTGGTGATTTGTTATATGTCTTTATTTTAATGTTATTTACTCATGAATGTCCTCTTCATTTCCTGCAGATTAACTTTAAAGTTTTAAAATAAAGCCACTTTTAAACACAGACTTCTTTGTTATGCACTTTCATGAGCTAGTCCTCAGTTCATGTGACTGCTCTTATCTGAGCTAATCTGAAGCAATTTTGCAAGTATAGTAATATACGGTATCATATCCTATACTTGGTTCCTTTAAATGCTTCCCTTTTTTCCTGGAAGCCATGTTGGTCAGGCAGGATATCAGTGAGTCATTCAGCTAACGTTTATTGCTTTTTATGTGTAATGTATTGTGGTCATCAATTCTTAATACTGTTTATTGATTGCAATTTCACTGTTTTAGATTTTTACATTTGTTTTCCTCGAGACAGCCAGAAAAAGTAGGAACAGCATTAGTTTGGGAATCTGAGAACCTGGGTTTTAAAGATGCTCTGCTACTTAAAGAATTTGTGCCCTTGAGCAGTTCACTTCAGTTTGCTAGCTTAGCTTCAATTTTCTCTTTCATAAAAGAAGAGTGGACTAATGAATTCTATCTAAGGTCTCTTTAGCTGTAAATCCTATGATCCTTTATCGACTAACTTCTCATACTATTCTTCCAAAGCTATTCAAAGTCATCGTTACTTTCTAACCATCATCCATTTTTTCCCCATTCCTACAAAAAATCTTAGGCACAGGCATTTCACACTAGGGGATTGGATTTAATGTTTGTGCTGGTTATATTATATAGGGTTCAAAGATCAGCATAGCGTAGTTGGGAAGGCTTTGTGAAAGAGGTGGGACTTGAAACTTGAATTGGTCATTGACAAATGGATAGGGTCTGAATTGTCTGAGAAGAATGAAGAAAAAATTAGTTTGGGGAGAACACCCAGAGTCAAGCAAAACATGAATGGGCTTTTCTAGGAATAGAGACGAGGTTAACCCCATTGGCAGGGCCCATTCTTGCTGGAAGCTGTGAGATAAACTTGGGCTGGTAGGGTGGAGTGAGATTGTGAAGGGCTGGGCCAAGGTAATGCACTTTGTCCTATTGGGAGCCACTAAACGATTTTGCAGGGTGGGGAGTAATCTGAAGAGAAAACCAGTATTTGAAGTAGATTCATCAGAAACTGTCCTCCTCAGATACTGGGATTTTTTTTTTCTTTCAGAATGAAAATGAAGTTCTCAACTCACATAATTTAATAGTCATTATTGATATTCATCAAATATTAAATTCTACACCCTGGATTCTATTCAGACACTTAAAAGACACAGCCTCTGCCCTTTAGGACCTGACATTCTAAGAGCATCATTTATGCTAGACATATCAGTTTTTTTTAAAGAAATGTAAATAATTCTTTTGCGTAGTCCAGTGTGAGTTAAACTAGAAATCATGAAGCTAAATCTGCTTAGAGTTCAGAAAAACATATACAATTATCTTTCTGAGATTCCCTCAGCTGAATTATCTGGACAGTTTTGTAGGCTACATCACTTGTCCTATATAGTTCACACATTTTTTGATTGAAAGAATAGACAGCCTTATACTAAAGAAAGTAATCAGCCCAGAAATCAGTTTCAATTAAAACACATTAAATCAAAACAATGGAATTGAGATTCACTTCAAAGAGGACCCCTCCCAGTCTCCTCATAAATGGATTAAATGCATTCTCTTTCTCTCTCCCCTCCTCCCCTGAGCTTCTCGGGCAGGGACATAGAGGGTTGAGAAATGACTCACCAAACACGAATAGCCAATAAAATTTTTTTAATTAGATACGTAAATCAACCATCTATTTATTTATTTATTTGTTTGTTTGTTTGTTTGTTTGTTTGTTAGTTAGTTAGTGGCAGATGCCTAGACATCCCCCACAGTCAGAAAGCAGGGGGGAAGGGGTTTGAAGACACATACACAAAATCCCCAACAGTCCCATCATCAAAGAGAGCTCAGGAAATAGCTTAGGCTTCTTTCTATGGAATGATTTTTTTATAAATCCAAAAAAACCAAACACCTTTTTTTCCATTAAGGCTCAGGCCTTGCCACACTTCCTGAAGGATTATATATCTTTTGCTTTTGCAATATATATCTAGATATACATGTTATATATATGCATATGTATTTTTAAAAGTTCTGTGTCTTTTTCTGTCTCTGTCTCTTTTTTTTTTCTAATTCCTATAATAAAGTTTCCTATTGGATAAGGTCAGCTCCCTGATTTATGCCTGGTTTCTATTGGAAGCGCTCAAAGGCTGACATCACTTAGGAAAGCGAGGGGGTAGGGCTGGCAGACCAGTTTGTCACCACCCAGCCTCCCTTGCCTTTGGCTGGGTGCAACTTCCATTTTAGGTGTTGGATCTGGGAGGAAAGAAAAAAAAAAAAGAAGAGGAGAGAGAGAAGGAGAGAACGGAGAGGAAAGAGCCGTAAAGGAGGAAGAGGTGGAGAAAAATTAATTGCATTATTGTACTTGTCTTTCTCAGCAATACTGGCAAGGATTTAGGTTCCTTTTTGTAAAGGATTGTTTTTTTAGAAGTCTGCAAATGAGGTGTTGTATGTGTGTGGATAATGTGTACAGAAGGGGCATGATAGGCTAGCCAGTTGAATTTTTAATTTTTGCTAACTAGAGGGATTTTTAAAAGGTGCTGAATGTTTGGGAGAAATTCAGCTAGGGTAACTGATTTTAAAACAATTTTTTTCCTCTCAATTTTTGCTACTTTTAATTGTATTTTTCAAAGCAAAACAGCAAGGAGAAGGAACAAACTTCTGGGTCTCCAGCGCTGGGAGCTAGCTGAGCAGCTCCTGTGGGGTAAGAGCAGTCCTGTGAATTTGCCTCTTGGTGTATTTTCTGACTGTATATTGCCTTCTAGGTCTCAGTGAACACATTTACATAACCTTTGGTAACAATTCAAAAAGTTGGTTTTTGGTGTATTGTGTGTGGGTTGAGACAGGAATTTATCTTGAGGTTGAAAAAGCTGGTTTCGCAGATGGCTTTTCATATGTTTTAAAACTTATTTTACTTTTTGCCCTGCTTGTGGACGTGGAAAGTTGCAAGGAGATTTGCAGCTTAAGCTGTGGTAGTGGTTTCCCACTCCCTTCTTCCCCCCCCCCCGAGTGTGATTAAACTCCCCTAGTCCATTTCAGCCTCATGCTTCTGGGTGGATCCCGATTTACTTTTCCAGGTGCAGTGGGTGGGAGCCTCATTCTCTTGTACTGGCCCTGCTGCTTTGCCTTTTAAAAGAAAACAAATGGATCCCCGTTGACTGCATTTCCCTTTTCTTAAAACCACCTTGGGTTGTTAAGACCCCACCCCCACCCCTCGTCCCCGCCCCCCAAAAATCTGCAAAAACTATTTCACAAGTTTTGGAATTAAGAGGTCATTTAATTTGAGTGAAGGAGAAAAATAGTTTAGAAATGATTTTAGCTTTTTATTTATTTAGGGTGATAGGTTAGCAGAAAACTCTTGCACACTTGAGTTTCCGCTTCATTTGAAGGATTTTATAAGGAAAAAAATTAAAAAATAAAAACCCTTGAAGGTCAAGTTTTGTGGGTGAGTAGAGTTTTAGTTGATTTTCTAAAATACCAGAAATCTGTAGCATTGTAGACCACTGACTTTTTTTTCTTATTTTAAAGCTTTTTTATTTGTGAAGTACTTTTTTATATGTATTTAACAAAATTTTAGATGATCATGTGTCAAATCATTAGCTAAAGACTGAGACTTTTTCTCCCTTTTCCCTTTTCATAATCAGAGCTACTCTCAAAATTAAGTATGGAATTAAATTCTTGACCCAATTGCAACAAAATGGGCCTTAATTCAGTGCCCTTTAGTACTTAAACTATCATACCTTTAAAAGCCCCATAAATGGTTTTTCCCTCCCCTTTTTACTTAGGAAACTTCCTTGAAAATGTTTTTCTGTGCAAAACTATAGAGTGTCGAGGGAGTTACTTTCTTAGGGGTTTCAAAGTAAAATGGAATTTCTTCCTTTTCTGTGTAATGCCGAGAACCAAAGTGAAAAGATTCTTATGAGCCCTATCAGTACTTGTTTCTTCCTTGATTCTGCAGTCTAAATTTAAAAAGAAAGGATGGCACGTTTATGACTGATACCCTAGGAGATGATTGATTTTCCCTTTGGGCTGTCATTTTTATTTGAATAGGGGTAGAAAAATTTGGAGACTTCTCATCTCCTTTTTTCTGCCTTAACTCCAGCCTAAGGTTCTGAGTAGATTTTTTGGATGACTGATCAGAATTGCTAGTTGACCCACTATCCCTCTAAAACCTTAAAGTGGGTGTCTGTTGAGAAAGATTACAAAGACGTTTTGAAAATGCAAAATAGGCTCTTGAAGGCTGGGTAATGATGACTGGGTCTGGCTTTAAGTGGATAGACACTGCACAGTGATAGTAGGACCCAAGGAAGTGTCTAGAACGAAGGTTCTTAACCTTTTTTGTGCTATGGACCCCTTTGGCAGTCTAGTGAAGCCTACTGACCTCCTCAGAATAATTTTAAAAATTAATAATTGAATGAAATACCAATTTCTAGTTAGACATTAGTAAAAACAGAATTTTTTCCCAGAGACACCCCCCCCCTTGAAATATATCCTTTGGTTGGTGGACCCCAGGTTAAGAAACCTAGGGGTCTAGAATTAGTGGAGGCAGCCCTAGACATTGTCATTGGCCTGTTTTAGACAAGGAGACTTGTGTGGTTTTTTTTTATCTTAATATTTTCAAGAATTGTAGGAGGTTTGGAACTTGGGAAAAGGGTACCTTCTACC